AAGCGATGATGGCGGTGATGCTCAAGTTTTTGTGTCGAAACAGTTCAAAGTATTTTGAAGGGGAATGGCATTAGTTGGCTGACTACAACGCGCTTGCCACCAAAACCAAGCGGCTTGGCAGAGCGGGAAGTGCAGGCCGCCAAAAATGAGCTGGATAGGCATGAGGTGGGATCGCGTAAACCAAGATGTCCCGGTGTTTGTTTCAATGTCGCACGGCACCTCGCTGTGTTCTCCGGCAGCATTGTTTCTGGGAGAACGTTGTTCATGGTACATTTTTAGGTCGCACGGACCCTGATAAAGGCCAGCACGTTGGTGAACGGCAGGTTGCCCAGAAAACATACCGCAGACGGGATCATGTGAACGGGATCTGTCAGTGGGCGACAAGGTGTACGTATCAGCTGATGATCGCCAGCGTGGTGTGAAGAAGAGCACCAGGGTACCCAGTCGAATCCTATGCATGTATGGTGAAATTCGCCATCGGGCTCAGCGCCGGCAGAACTATTGTCAGGCACGCCGATCAGGTACGGGGGCGCTACAGTGTCTATCCCGGGCCGCGTGTTTCAAACGCGCCCCTGCTCATCTCTGAATTGGGCCAGTGATGGGCCAGTGACGTCACCACCAGTCCAGGATCCCGTCCCGGCTCTAGCAACGCCCACGCTGGCGCTGCCTTCTCCCGTGCTGAGGGTCGTATCGGACCTCATCCCGGGTAACGGCTCTCCTGCGGGGGACTCGGGATACGTGCCTCCGGCGTAACCCCCGCATTCCGGACCCATCCGCCGCTCCCAGGTAGAGCCTTAGGAACCGAGCCGACTGGCGGCATCCCGACTGGTTGTAGGTACAATGTCCATGATGTGCTTTATCGGAAGGATTAGCACGCGCTTGGGTGGCCGGTTGGATACGAGACCGCTCGGATGAAGGGTCAACTTGCTCCCCTTGAGATCTAAAAAAGATTTAGAACTGGAGATACCAAATTCACAGAATACATAGCCCTACGTATAAACTCAACTTTGTCAACATTTGAGCTCCCTTGGTCATGAGACTCGAGTCAAACAAGGTCAAACAAGGTCAAATTCCTGATCTATGTCTGAAGTTTGCTTGAATTCGTGCAACTACATATAACCCAGAGCAGGGGCGCGGCCAGAACCGTGGCGTGGGGAGCACAGGGTTAACAAAGGGCCCCCTGATGGCAAAAGGGCCTCTACCGAAAACCGCCGGTATGGTCCATTTGTTATTAAGGATATGCTTACATATATATATATATATATATATATATATATATATATATATATATGTATATATATATATATTACACGTTTCTACCTTCTGTAACTGCAATATAGTTCGCGCTACCGCGAGATCAATTCTACCTGTAGTTTATAGCAAATAATCCGATAAAATCATGCGTTAAGTGACTGCATGAAATAAATTTCCGGCGTTTTTCATTTAACAATGGTCCAGTGGTCTTTTCTTAAACCGACAGAACTCAGAAACTTTGTCAGAGTTTTTTATCTGGGTTGTACGGAGATAGCAAGGAGTCCGCGAATGTGGGATGAAGATCAAAATGGGTCAACCTTTGTATGAACATGACTCGGCCATGTTTGCCTGGATATTTTCAACATTCAGTCAAATTCCAGTAGTGAAACAAATTATGTAGCGTAGTTCTGAGCATGCTCGCTTGCATATCTTAGCAACAAAAAGTTCGATGCCAGGCGTTGCAGTCTCCTTGAGCGGGCGGCGTCGGCACTGTAACTAACATTAGACGGTGACCAACAGGTGGATGAAAATGGTGACGCATCTGACAGAAGTACCTTTGAACGCTTTAGGACACCAATTCGCACTTTTAGAGATATTTCGGGCTCGCGTTTTACATGTGCACTTTTTAGATTGATTACATTAACTTATTGGTCTTCACAGCACCGCGAAGTGGTAAAATCTTTCCAGAGAACATCCTCAAAGTTGTAAAAAAATTACCCAGTGTAATTTCTGAACTGAGCGCTTAAGTTCAAAAGCCATTCAGAAACATTTTTCACGATTGTCATCGTTGCGCGCTCGGCACCCATCCCCTAGCATTACTTGCAGTGGCCAACGCCATTCGGTTTTACGAAAACCGCAACCCAAATCCTTGCTATCCTTGCCCCCTAAGATTACGGACGTGTCATTGAGGCTCCATGACGCACTAAGCTGCTGGGGCTATATATATATATATATATATATATATATATATATATATATATATCCCACCTTTTCCGCCTTTCCCCGGCGGGAAGGGCGGACACCGCGCGGAATCGAACCCCGTCCCTGTCCCCGTACTGAACCCCGTACCTGTCGTTTCCCAGACGCGCAGTGGTTAACGCAGGTGCGTTCACCACTACACTATTTTCACCCGGTGCGCAGGATCAAACCTTTTGATGGTATTTGTTTCACTAGTCGGTTCTGCAAAATAATGAACGTTCTCAGAGAAACGTGAGATGACCTTGTACGTTTTGAACTCATTTCGATCCATTCCATTCATAGTGTAATATGGGCAATGAGACCGCTTGTTCCTTGCCGGTACAGGGGCTTCCTTGAGTACAACACTACAGGGCGCATTGTTATTCCCGGTCAGGGGCTGAACGGTCATTCTGTCCCACCGCGGCGTGTTTTCCGGCGGTCATTCTGGCGACACGGGGCGGCATCCCTTGGCCGATCCGGCGACCCTTGGAGGTATACATGGTATCACAACAGTCCGCTCCCTGACGCAGGAGTCAACACCGAATCGACGCATGAGCCGCCATTAACGCAACAGCATCCCTGCCCGCCTTGGGTGGTCAAATTAGTCGCACATAGGCTCCGACTGGGCTTAACGGGCCCATGCTGGAATGGGGTTGGAGGGCCCACCGTTCGAAACTAGGGGTCCTGACTGATACTGCACTTTTCCATTGCCTCATTGTGAGCACTCATAATAAGTTCTTCTGTTTCTTTTAACTGTCAGAGGGCCCCGGCCGACGCAAGGACCCTCTGCCATTCGGACTCCCGTCCCCGTCCCTGTTGAGCAAATCTTCCACTGATCGATTCGAGGCCCCTTGTTGACACAGAATGCCCTGTTAGGCACTGTGGGCCCCTGAACGATACAGGTGCGCAGCCAATGTAAATCGCGGGCCCGGCCTTATCCCCGCTTGGGAAATGGGTCCCCAGAGCTCAAACCAACACGGAGCCGACCGTTCGTCGCTCGTGTTCTCTGGCCGAAATTGAAGAACGCTCTGTCTCAGGGGTTCCTATCAGTGCAGGGGATCATCTTACTGACATTTGAGAGCACGGCCCTGTGGGTCCACGGTCCTTAATGTGACCTGCAGTCAGTCCTTCGGGCCCTTATACCCTCCAACCGGGCCCCTGATCGTTGGTTCCGGTGGACCGCCCGGCCCCTCCTCAGGTCTCATTGAACATTTCCCTTGGTCGGATCGGGGCCCTTGCGAGCACAGGGCCCTCTGTTCGGCGCTGTGGGCCCCTGACGGGTACAAGGTCCCGAACAGTGTAAATCACTGGCCCGGCTTTATAGCTGATTGGGAAGTGGGTCCTCAGGCCCATACCGACACGGAGCCGACTGTGTGGTGCGGTGGTACCTGGCCGATATATGGACCCATATCGTCTCAGGGCTTTCCCGATTGGCGGAAATGGCCCTCTGGCCGCTATTTGAGGATCTGTGTTCCCAGGTCGGGGCCCCTGAATAAGACTCCGACCAGTCCTTTATGCCCTTGGACACTCCAATCGTAATCTCGATCGTCTGACCCAGTTGGCCCTCTAGGCTCTTTGGGCCCCCTCGAACACTATGTCTGGCCAACTCGGGCCCTTTGACAACACAGGGCCCCTGTTAGACGCTGTGGGGTCCCAAGCTATGTAAATCGCTGGCTCGGGAAATGGTCCCTGAGGCTCATGTCGGGAAGCGGGCCCTGCTCGGGAAGTGGGCCCTGAGGCTCATGTCGTCCTGGAGCCGACTGCGCCTTACTGGTAGTGTCTGACCAAAACATAGGCCCTCATCGACTCAGTGGGCCTCTGATGAGCGTGCAGGGCCCTCTGACTGGCATTGGAGCGCCCAGTCCTGCGGGCCAGGGCCCCTGAATGGGACCTCCAACTGGCCTTTTGGGCCCTTAATAGTGGACTCTGACGGGCCCTTCGAGCCCCTCGAAACATAAGAGGCGTGGGGCACGTGCCCCTTGTGCCCTCCTCTCCTGCCTGTGCTAATGACCCAGACGCCTCCGCCAAGTAAAAGGTCACTGGTGTTCACTCCAGGCTAGTGACCGTATTGACCTTCAGAATGCGACGCCGACGAAAACCCTGCAGGGTCGTTTCGGTTTTTGAATTTCAAGATGCGTAAAGGATAAGGTTGGTTCTAAATAAGGTTGGCTGGGGTTTCCTATGTTAGTGACGTCTTCTGAACTTTGTAAACCTTAAATAACACGTTTGTTAAACTTTATGTGTTCAAATGTCAATGTGTGTGTTCAACCTCAAGGCAAAGTGCTCAGCAAAAAAGTGATTTCGTTTTGAACTCAACCTGAACTTCATACCTGGCCAAAGGTCAATAAGACTAGTTATTATCCTGCATTCAATTGTCCAATTGCCAGAAAAACGCCCCAGAGATGCATGGCTTCATCTGACACTATGTTATCGTATGAGTCAAAGCGATTCCCTGGGTTGTCTGACCTTGACCTGCCACAGGACGTTTGTCTGCTCAATTAGCTACAGCTCAGCAAAGTTTGCCGGGGCAATGCTGAGCAGTCCGGAAGTTTTTTCGGGCAAAAAACCTTCGAGCAGTCAAGTTGACCCCCAAAGGCGTGTAAATATGTATTCCTTAAGCGTTGAAATGGTGCACTAGAAGCATTATTTTTTCCTTTCACCTGTGGCTCGTAAACGGGTTGGAGGAGTATGTAGCAGTCTTTTAAACCAAATGTTTATATATGCTGAAACATTTGCGCATGCGTGTTGGGGAAGCAGCGGGAACCAATCATATCAATCGATAGCCCAGACGCGGTGCTCTGTACGCGCGGGGGCTGGAGTGTGAATCCCCGTTTGAAAGGTGGGGTGGATATAATTGGGATTTGTTTTACCTGCGCAATATGTCTACGGAAGGGCCTACCCAGAAGAAGGTGAAGAAGTTAGATGAATCCGGGGATCTCGAAGAGAGCAGAGACTTTGATGTCGAGACGCAGAAGGCCCTGGAGGAGATCGACGGTTGTCAAAATGAAATCGACGCTCTGAACGAAAAGGCGAGCGAAGAGATCTTGAAAGTGGAGCAAAAGTACAACAAGCTGCGAAAACCGTTTTTTGAAAAGCGGAACGAGATCATTCGAAAGATACCAAACTTCTGGGTGACTGCTGTATCCTTTGGCGCCTCGTGGGTGCCGGTGTCTGCGCCATGATTGCATACAGCGTGGAAGGGGAATGGTTGAGTCATTTGCTGCCTGCAGTGAATGCCATTTAGTTCCTGTACTTTCAAGAATACTATTGTCACATTTACTATGGTCTTCAGATATTGAATGATCCATGCAATTACCTATTCTAGCCATGCATGTTCCCTCATTGCCCAACCACTGTTGGTCAGTGATGTACAGGTCAGGAAGCAGTCCTTCATTGGGGAAGTACATGCCTGAAGTTGCTACCTATGGTGTTACTTGCCTATTCCATGGCAAGCAACTGTGGTCCCAGACTTATGAACTATTGTGATTCATATATGTGCAGTGGCATAGGCCACAAGTTATGGACAGCATTTAGTAACACAGAATGATGCCTGGGTTTGTGTTAAATAGGGATTAAGACCCATGTGCTCTTAAGAAGTTTTCAAAAAGAGCAATGTATTAGCATTATTTATGGTCTGTGAGAAAGATTGTATTCACTCAATTTAGTCAGTGTGACATTGGGCACAAGTCCCAGAGGGGGCACTTTAGTAGAAAGTTAAGCCAGGATCTACCAAAAAAGATGAACTTAGACATCATGCTTCTGTGCTGCATCATTGTATGGTGCACAGTGCCTTCCACATACCTGTACAGGGAATGGTGGAGGTAAAATAGCCTGTTTAGATAGAGCACATGATTTGTGTGGTGGGTTCTGAGTATGTACAGCAAGCTGTTTGCAGTAGGCACCCGGTGCAGCAAACCACTCATGCAAACCATTTGAAGGGTTTTGACAGAAATGCCCAAAAGATAGCATGATATTTTATGTTAGTTACTGGTGGGTATAGGTAGTGCAGAATGCAGCTTATGGTAGACAACCCTGTTCCCCTATAGATAACCCTGACAGTGTGGTAACCCTATTTGACATTTCAAAGACACAATAAAAAATTAATCCTTGCATGTTCCAGCATGACTTATAAAGGATTAGGTAAGACTGAACTTCACAATAATATGATTGTGGTATTCCATTATTATTGCAGACATGTGCTTGAATCCCAAGTGTGGGCACAGAATCGCACAGGGTACCATGGCTATGGGACCCTAAGATCAGATTCCAGGACCTTTTCATACTCTAGGCACATGCCAGGATATTTTATATGGTTTAAAGTTTGTGGGTGTTACAGCTACACCAGTAAGGTGGTGACAGTGTCTGTCACAGCAACCTACATTGACCTTTCTGCATTTGAACTATGGTAGGGCATCAATAAGAGGACATTTATTGGGAAGGAGGTGTTTGAAATTGTAGCATTTGTGATTTCTTACCAGTGTGATGTAGCAGCTGCCTGGGTGGGTGGTTGAATACCTTTCACTTGAATGGGGGTTGATCCGACCCCCGAGATCTTGAAAATTATGATGACTAGAGACACCAATTCATAGGGTGTGTTGGAATGAAAATATGTATTCTGCATGCTGATGTTACATTGTCTTTGGTCTGTATGTATGGGCTGAGCTGGAAATGGCTGCCTTCACACATATTTTCTAGCCTCGCAAAGCAACATGGCATATCTTGTTCACCACACTTCCGCAGTCTGACAGTTGTGCAAGTTTGCATTGTAAAGGAGTAGTTTGCATGCATATGCATGCATATATCTGATTTTTAATAAAAAATACACCATAAGCCTGAGCATTCACTTCCCCCTTGATGACCATGTTTGTGCATGATTGTGCATGATTGTGACAACTGGACACAAGTATGGAGATAATATCCGTGACACAGTTTCGTTTATCCCTTTTTATCACTGATGATTGTACCATGTGCTTCCTCATGCTTGACATCAGAGAACTGGAAATTTACTGTGCTTTTCAGCTACTGCTTCCATGTGCATGTTCACTCAACAAGCAAAGTGGATGAAACATTGTGTATGTGTATTGCCAACCTCAGCTTCCACATGGCTTGAAGAATGTTGATAGCCTCAGCATCACAAAAGTGTAAATTAAAAGAAAACAGTAGATTATTTTATGATGGTGAATAGTTGTGATTCATGCATTTTCATTCAGTGATATGTTATTGAGCATGATGCTGGTTGCATCTGGGATCTTGCTGACACTCTAATTTCATTCAGTTTTGGAGAGCAGCCCATTTTTCAAGTTGTTAATGTTCAGTACTATATCACGCAATTTATACTGATAGCACAATTTCCTCTGCTACACAAACTTCCTATTTTGGTTGAGTTAGTGTCATGATATGTTATCATTGTGTGAGGTTTTGTCCATCTGCAAGTTCCTTACATTGAAGCTGCAGTTCGCCAACCACCCACAAGTGTCAGCATTGCTAGATGAGGAAGAAGAGGAGTGCCTCCACTTCATGACACAGTTGGAGGTCGAGGAGTTTGAAGATATCAAGTCGGGGTATAGGATTAAATTTCACTTCTCAAAGAACCCATATTTTTCAAATGACATTCTCATGAAAGAATTCCACCTGGGATCATCAGGTACTTGTTTGTGCGCGTCTGCGTGTTACGCGATTTTTATGGTTCTCGTCGCCATAATGCCAAAGCTTTTTTGTACTGTGGTGCATTTGGCGTGGACCAAAGCATGTCTTTGAGCGTTGTATGTCGGTTTGTGTCTGTCTGCAGCCTGAGGTTACCTCCTTAATGCTTTCACAATAGTAATAATGCCTAGAGCTGCACACATGAATGATGTGGCATGTGACATGATGAGAGTCAATAGCCATCAGTCATAGGTCTCACGGCACTGACTTGACTACTGCACCCCATCCAATCACGATTGATTGCTGTTGCAGTGCCTGACATACACCACTTTTTCAGATCCGAAGTCAGAGTCGACGAAGATCAGCTGGACCGAGGACATGAACCTGGTGAAGAACGCCAGGAGTCGGCAAGAGAAAGTGAAGCAGGGCCGGAAACGCGGCCTGGACGTCAAGTCCTTCTTCCTCTGGTTCGAGGACCACGAGGACCCGTCCCAAGATGACATCGCTGAGGTCATCAAGGATGACATGTGGCCCAACCCACTGCAGTATTTCCTCGTGCCCGACATCGAGGTGGAGAATGGCGTCGAGGAAGAAGAAGAGTAAGTTTGTGTCGAACTGGTGTGCTTTGCTCGGTTATGGTGCAGACGTAGTGCGGGTGCATTCTTTTTAAAAGGTAACTAACAGACAATTCGCGGTGTTTGGAAAGTGGGTCAAAATCATATGAATAGCTGCTCTCTGTACACATTGGTAGTCTTTCAGCAGGAGAAAGGTGGCTGTTTTGTGGGCACTTATTTTCTGTATGGGCCCTGCCCGCTGTCGTGGCTGGTGTGACCTTGAGCTCGGTCAGCTTGCTGGCCCGCGGACACCCAATGGGAGTGGATCTGGTGGAGACGTCATGTCTGGCATCATCCTGGGCCGCATGTAGGTCTCGAAACATTAATTGTTTTGCGAAAATTGGTACTAGTAGTTTGATTTTGACTGCTGTGGCTAAAGAACCAGTGTTGGGGATGCGGTTCAGTGATAATATGACATATTTTCTCGAAAAGTGACGTGGCAGTGGGTGTGATCGACGTAATAGAAGTAATTAGGCCTGGCTTAAACAGATGCATAGGATTTTGTTTGAATCAAGGCTTTAGTCTGAACTGTGATACCTAGCTAGGTTATGTTGTCACTGCTTGCAACACTCATTTCCGTGATAGATGATACTTGCATTCAACAGCAGCTGCTATCCAGTACCTTTTGACTTTGACCAGCAGCAAATCCTCTGTCAACTATGTACCACACCTCGGGCCACGAAACAAGCTCCTCGCGTGCCTTGTGGCGCCAGAGAATCATGCAGTCGGGACCCTCGAGTCCCTGTGGCTTGAGTCAGTCGCAGGTGGCCATAGCTAGCCACGGACTGGTCGCCAAGGCAACGGTGCTCTGACATGATGACCGGCCTGTTTCAGGGGCGACGTGGACGAGAGCGTGGTGGTGATGGAGGAGGAGGAGGACGACGGAGAGGGCGACGAGGAGGATGAGGGTGAGCGCGCCTGGCAGTAACCTTTAGATTAGCAAGAGTTCACCATTTTGATGTTGCAGTTTCCATTTGCTCCGCGTGGGAATGGAGAGGTAACACTATGCACGCAGTTCTGATGCTGCTCATTAGCCTGGAATTTATATTTGTGTTGTGTTATCAGCATGCATGAAGTTTAAGATATATTGGATACAGCTCCCCCCCCCCCCCCCCCCCCCACACACACACATAATGTTGAGGGGCAGGGTGCAATAACGGTATGTGAACATAATGCCCTCTCTAAAATATCAGTAGGAACAAAATCACTACAAAGTCACAAATTCTGGCAGTGAGAAAATCTGGTTTCCCTCCCCATCCAGTGGTATTTGGTGACTCATTGCGTAGTTATCAGCACGACGTTGCACATTCTGTCATAGCAAATGTGAGGGTCCTGGCCCATTGCAAGGAAATTAAGATGATATTACAATAATTATTGACACAATATTCATAAAGAAAGTTTTATTTTTGATGATCAAGGATGCAATTTTTAACGAGTATCACGCACATAACTTTTGTAAGGTCATCCTATTTGCCTTTGACATACTTGCCATGCCTTACATTGCACAAGTACTGTACCAGCGTAGGGTCTCCTGTGGTGTGTTCATATCTGTTACCCTGTTAACATGGGCAGCCGAGGGCAATTCGAATTAAGATCGGAACGGATCATGCGACATGAAACCTCTCGCAGAGGTTGTGTACATGGGCGAGACCGGCTTTACGTCGAATTAACGGTCAATTACCCGGTTTACATGGGCAGCCGAGGATAATTCGAATTAAGATCGGAACGGATCATGCGACGTTAACCCTCTCGGCGAGGGGCGTTTACATGGGCGAAACCGGCTTTACGTCGGATTAACGGTCGATAGTTCGATCCCGCTTAGTTCGAACCAAGGAACGGGTTATGGGCGAAAACTGCGCTTTTGAGGCGAACTGAACAAAACAAGAAGAAAAAAGCCGGTACTCTGCGTATGGATGGCGAATGTCACGAGCCGTGGTGGGCGCGAGACAGCTTTGAGGGCGAGGAGGAAGATGGACTCGGTTGGAAAAATGATCTGTGCGGGACTCATAGGCTTTGTAGCTACAGCACAAGCCATAGCACTTGAAACACAGGAGTTGCGCAGTCAGCACTGCCAAATCTGTCACATAAGCAGTGTTATATGCAAATTTTTACTAGCAGGAAACTGGCTAGCACGAAATCAGTATTTTCTTGTATTGGCCAATGACACTCACAAACTTACCACACTCATCAGTATGCCACCCAGCATCATGTCATCTACTTTGCGCAGCCCAAGAAACACATTACCTAATCCCGCACCAATGCATTTATGAGCAGCCTGCAACAGTGAGCTAAGCTACAGAAATGACTCATGAATGCTACATAGTTAGTGGCAAAAATTGTGTAACTATGTTGTCTTTCCCCATCCAATGCATCATCAGTACCTGAGGGCAGCATTGCCACTTAGACTTGGCATGGACTGGCAAGTCAGAATGCAGCTATTTGCTTTCTTGACATACTAGGGTTGAAATACTGCTTTGATATCCTTGCAGTCAACAGCATTGGCTGATATGGACTGATGGCTAGGTGCCACAAACAGCCGTGTTCGCACAGTCCAAAGGTCATAACGTGAACCAGCCCCAGAGCTGTCATGACAAAAGCAATCTGGGCTCAAAATTCATAACAAATGATTAATTATAGCAACACCTCAATTATCCACCTCATGGTTTGCAAAGATACGTGTCACAAAAAAGCACCAAGGCAACATATTTACTCACCAGTACAAAAACAGGTAATGATGTGCACTGCAGATGTTCTCTGCACATCATGTGGCATTAGGTTAGGTTTACTTAGTTTATGCACTGTTTTCTTCCACATGAAATGCACAAACCTGGATTTGACAGAGTACTGATGACAGCTAATTTCATCCAGTGCTCACATTTGCTTTCTTGACATTTTGGAACCATCACTGGGCAATTTTGGTCCCATCATTAAAAATAGTTCACATTCTGCACTGACTGCAATGATCTATTGCCTATATTTGTTGATCCTTTGCATCATGCAGGAATTATTGAGTTACCTATCTCACACACATTAAACTGACAAGCAACAAACAGCCTAATTGCATCAAAAACAAATATTCCAGCCCCCGCTTCCTTGCCAGTTGGTCTACCAGTGTGACGTAACTTCATATTTCCTTGACAAGCCAGTCACCAATATCCAGCACATCCCTCCTGCCAATAGGTGCTCAACCAAATGTTCAAGTCACAGGAGGAATGTCTGCAAATCAATCCTGGGGCATTTATGTATTCACCTAATGAAAGAAACTATTGGTACTCCCTGCAAGAATTGTTGAACAGTTGAATTACCTACCTCGTGGCCTGCAAAGACACCCATCACAAAAAAGCACCAAGGTGACATATTTAATCACCAGCATAAAAACAGGTGATGATATGCAACACAGACGTGTTCTCCATGCGGCATGTGCCATCGTGTTAGGTGTTAGTTTATGCACTGTTTTCCTGCACATGGAACACACAAACTTGGATTTAGCAGAGTAATGATGACAACTATTTTCATCCAGTGTTCACATTTGCTTTCTTGCTGTTTTGACCCCATCATTGGGCAATTTCGGTCCTACCATTATAAAAGTTCACATTCCGAGCTGACTGCAATGATCTATATTTGTTCATCCGTCATATCATGCAGCAATTTTTAAGCTACCTTTCTCACACAAATTAAACTGACAAGCAACCAGCATCCTAATTTAAGGAACATCTGCAAAAACACTCCTGGGGACTTAAGGTATTAACTTAATGAACGAAACTTGGAGGCATTCTCTGCAAGAATTTTGAGCAATCCAAAAATTAAAATGAGAACAAGTCAAAGCTATGTAAAATAACCATATTACCTCCATCTGGCTTCTGGAAGCATGGAGCCTGCCCCAGATGTAAACTAATCTAACCTTTAGGCGGAAAGATAGCACCAAACACCGTCGACGCGTGCTGTCTGCATAGATCAAGCGCCTAGCAAGGCTAAATTACGTGAGCATTTCTGTGCTGCTAGCCACTCAAGGCCCTCAATAATAAGAGTAGTTTTAGCAGCATGATGTCAACTTCACCTTCCTTCTCTTTTCCCTTACCATCTTGGACTTGAACCGTCTGGAGCAATAGCTAAAAACCCGTGGAAAAGCGGTAACACCGCACAAAGCTGAAATGGCTATGAACAGAACTGCGTGCGCCAGGCATTTTTCTTTTTTTTTTGTTTAGACAGCTGACGGCCGATAATTCGGACGAAATCCCTTCCTGAACGGATGATCCTCTCACGGGAAGGGATTTCCTCCGGCGCACGATTCGAATCAGCGGAACGGCGCGTGAGTGTATACATGGGCCGGATAGTTCGGATCGAGGACGGGTCCCGGCTTAATTCGAATCACAGTTGCCCATGTAAACAGGGTAAATGGTTCGATCCCGGTTGGTTCGAATCGGGAACGGATTATGGACGAAAACTGCGCTTTTGTGACAAACTGAAAAAAATGCCGGTACTCTGCGTATGGATGCCGAATGCCAAGAGCCATGGTGGGCGCGAGACGGGTTTGAGAGCGAGGAGGAAGATGGACTCCGTTCGGAAAACGATCTGTCCACGACTCATAGGCTTTACAGCCACAGCACAAGCCATAACATTTAAAACACAAAAGTTGCGTGGTCAGCACTGCCCATATAGTATCATATCTGCCCCATGGTTACTGTGGCATGAAAATTTTGCTATTGGACCTAGGACATGTGAACATTGTGCGTTGCAAAGAGCACGATCACAGGAATTCGCACAAAACAGGAAAAGGTGATTTACAGATATTCCAGCATATATTCCTCCTAAAGTCAGTTTCTTTGATCACAGGTTTGCAATGAAGAATGACAAGGAAGTGAACTGGTAAATAAAACTATAAGCTGCTTCATGGCAATGGCAGAGATGATGTTAAAGTAACATGTGTTAGACCATCCATACATGACAAGAACTTCAAAAAGTGCAAGCAAGGCTACTGCTTCCCATTCTGCAATATAGATCATGGCTTGATGTTTTGGTTAACATTATTTAGGATGACATTTAAGATACACCTGGAGCCTGTGACACCTGAATCTTTGCTGACATGCAAGGGCTAGCACAAAATCAGCATTTTCTTGCATTGGCCAATGGCACTCGCAAACTTACCACGCTCTGATATGATGGGCCACCAAGCATCATGTCATGTACTTTGCCCAGCCCCAGAAACATATTACCTACTCCCACAATAATGCATTTATGAGCAGCTTGCAACCTTAGGCTAAGCTACAGAAATGACTCCTGAATGCTACACAGTTAGTGGCAAATTGTGCAATTATGTTGTCTTTGCCCCTCCAGTGCAGCATCAGTACCTGAAGGCAGCATTGCCATTCAGACTTGGCATGGACTGGCAAGTCAGATTGCAGCTATTTGCTTTCTTGACATACCAGGGTTGAAATACTTTGATATCCTTGCAGTCAACAGCATCAGACTGACATGGACTGATGGCTAGGTGACACAAACAGCTGTGTTTGTGCAGTCTAAAGGTCATAATATGTGTCATGAGACCTGTGTCATGACGACAGCAATCCTATCTCGAAATTCATAACAAATTATTCATTATGACAACAGTTGAATTGCATACCTCACAGCTTGCAAAGACACTCATAAAATAGCACCAAGGTAACATATCTGCTCACCAGTACAAAAACAGGTAATAAGATGCACCACGGACATGTCCTCTGAGCAGCACGTGCCTTGGTGTTAAGTGTTACTTCATTTGTGCACGGTTTTCTTCCACATAAAGTAACAAACCTAGATTTAGCAGAGTACTGATAACAGCTATTTTTGTCCAGTGTTCACATTTGCTTTCTTGATGTTTTGAAACCATCATTGGGCAATTTTGGTCCTATCATTAAAACTAGTTCACATTCTGAGCTGATTGCAATGATCTACATTTGTTGATACTTCGTATCATGCAGGAATTTTTAAGTTACCTTTTTCACGCAAATTAAACTGACAAGGAGCCAACATCCTAATTGGAGGAGGGGCCTTTAGGTATTCACTTAATGAAAGAAACTTAGAGGCATTCTCTGCAAGAATTTCGAGAGCAATCCAAAAATTAAAGTGAGAATGAGTCAGAGGTATATAAAATGACCACGTTACCTCCATATGGTTTTTGGAAGCATGAAGCCCGCCCCAAATGTAAATTGATCTGACCTTGAGACGGAAAGATAACACCAAACACTGCTGACGCCTGCTGTCTGGATAGATCAAGCGCCTAACAAGGTTAAATGATGTGGACATTTCTGTGCTACTAGCCACTAAAGGCCCTCAATAATTAGAGTACGTTAGCAAGCATGGTGTCAACTTCACCTTCTTTCCCTTTTTGTTGTCCATATTGAACTTGGATCGTCTTGAGCAATAGCTAAAATCCGCGGAAAGGCGGCAACACCAACAAAGCTGAAATGGCTTCGATCAGAACGGCATGCCCCAGGCAGTTTTTCGGACAGCTGACCACCGATAATTCTAACGAAATCCCTTCCCGAACGGATGATCCTCTCACAGGAAGGGATTTCCGCCTGCGCACGATTCGAATCAGTGGAGCGGCGCGTGGAGTGTGTACATAGGCCGGGTATTTCGGATCGAGGACGGGTCCCTGCTCGATTCGAACCACAGCTGCCCATGTAAACAGGGTATGTGTTTCGCTGGCGTCAAATCTACTGGTGCCCACAAATATTACTCTGGTAACCTGGGCTGAGTGGCGCGGTGGGTTGCTGTAGACCTGCGCACTGCGTGCGCCGAATGTTTTTTTTTTATTGCTCAGCGGCTGCCGGGCATGCCGTCACGTGTCTCAGACGGGACCAGACAGCGGTCATGTCCGGTCGCACGCCGTGATGTATGCGGGCCACATCTAACGCCTGACTGTTAACCTGCTGCTTTCTCGGACTGTTTGCTTGTACCTGCTTTTGAGGAGCTCCCGCCTTAACGCGAAACGCTGTCCAAAACGTGTGGCCGTGAAGTCGCCCATGCACCTGGCGTTTGATGGCCCCTGCATCACATGCTGCCGACGTGCCCCCGTCCGTCGTGGCGCGCTCGCCGCCGCCGCCTGACACGGCCCGGCCGTCCGCAGAGGGTCTGGAGGACGAGGAGGACGAGGCTGACGACGAGTGAGGCAGCCGCCGGGGGACGAGCGAGGACGAGGCAGTCGCGGACGCGGCGACCAGGCCGCCGGAGCCGGGGACGGTGCCGCCGGCGATTTCTGAACACTTGCGTACCGACAAAGCCAATTCATTTGTACATACTCAGGACTGTCATGTCGTGCGGTACCTTTCCAGCTGCTGGCGACCCGCCCGTTTTTGTTGGTTTGTTTTTGGACGGCGATATTTTTATATAATATCCGAGGGCTCTGGTGCTGGCGACGGAATCCAATCCAGACCGCGTCCAGCCGGAGCCCGGGTGGGTGTCGCGCCTGTACCGTTGCAACTAGGAAATAAAACAAACGCTAGTTGTACTCCTCGGTGGTCTGTTGGGGCTTTGATGCGACCGAATGCTGCCTGGTCGAAATGGGCGTGTGTGGCTCCAGACTAGCCCGCCGTGGGTTGCTGACCGTGTTTGTGGAATTTCGTTTGGCTTGCGCTGCACGTGCCACGCGCTGCGGCGTTCAGCTGGAACGATCGGGTAATGGCGCGGACGGCCTGCGGAGGGCGCCGCAAATAAGTGTGCACTAAGCTGTTCTTGTGAGGCGTTTTGCTGACGTTTGCTCGAATGCTATGCAGAGATGGATTGGGCTCATAACCTGCTAAGTACAGACTTGTGAAGACGGCAACCCCACCATCCAGGAGAAGAATCTCAATCCGATGGGCGAGGTTTACGCAAGCGTTTAGAAGTGACGTAGTGGCCAGTAGCCCAATCACCGTGACCGGTGCTGTTCGGTCAGGCTTGCTTCCCTAAAGCACAGTGAAGTCTGGATTGGAAAAAGATGTAGCGAGGGTTGAAAATATGTTGAGATGCATGGAGACATGGGGCGAGCCCGTTTGAAGCCTGTGGGGTGAAAGCAAGTGTAACAAACTTGTGACCTTCCGCGGCTGTCGTTTTCTCTTGTGCTATCATGGTGGTCGAAAGTAGGAGTATGTACCGCGCTAGGAACCGCAAACTACTGTATCTGGCAACAACTGCATCTCGCAGGTAACGAGTTTGCAGGAGAAATATCGCTGACCTTCGACGGACTTCCATGTGCTGCGTTCAGGATCACGCGACCGGGCTTTGTCGGCTTTTACGTAGGTGGCAGTGCGGTGCATTATAGGCGGCGTTGCTGTCGGCGGGACTTCTTTTCACTGTTTGGCGCCGACCAGGTGAGTAATTTGCCGTGTTCAGCGTGGTAATCTGCGGTGTCTTTCCACATTTAAGCCTCACCGCAGACGATGAAGTCACTTCTCGCTGGGTCACGAAAGCGGATAGCGTGTCCCGCGCTTCATGCGTAAGTTACCTCAGGAGCACTGCCCGCTGTCGGAGCGGCCGCGAGCGAGGGGCTCGTTGTGACTTCCTTGTGCCGTTCTCCCAAGATGATATGCGTCTTGCGACGAAAACCGGATGTCGTCACGACATTTACTTTCTGGGTCTAGTCACACATTTGGTCTTCACTCATAACATGCGTAAAGCAGGGGCTTGGTTTGCTATGTCATCAATACGCCTATGCGCTGATGGACGGCAGTGTTGCCGTAACGCTCATCAATCATCTTCAACGCTCATTCTCAATGCTGAGGTACGCCCATTAACACGCGCCCGGGTGGCCGGCTAGATGCCCTTCGCTCGGGTGGAGGGGGGGGGGGGGCGGGCAGTTTGACCCCCTGAGATCTCGGGAACTA